GGTCCCACCAGATTTGGGGTGAGGGCGGGGAGCGAGCGGGCGTGCGCGCCCGGGGCTCGCCGTGCCCGGCAGGCGGCGCTGCGGGGCTGCGCCTGGGCTGGGCCCGACGGAGGGAGGGGCTGGGGGGCCGGCCCCGCACCCCGCCCACGGGTCTGCCCTGGGGGGTCTCTCAGACCCCGACCTAGGCGGGCGCGGGCCGCTCGCGGCTGGCCCCACACCGCGCCCCCCGCCCCCCGCCCCCCCAGCTCCGCTCCGGCCGTGCCGACCCTCGGTGCCTGCGGGGAAGGGGCTCCCGACGCCGCTCCCGCCTGGGGGGCTTGGACTCAGGCGGGGGAGCCCGGCAGGAACCTGGGCCTCGGGGGAGGGGTGACTCCCCGAAGCCCGCCCCCCGGGGTGGGGCGCGTGGGGGGCTGGGCAGGGGCGGAAGCGAGCGGAGCCGTGTTTGTCGCGGCGCCGCCGAGCGGAGCAGATGGCCGGGGGGGGGGGGGGGGGGGCGGGTACGTGGCGGGGAGGAGGAGGGGTGCGGGGGCCGGAGGATGAGGAACGAGGAATCTCGACGCCCCGAGTCTCCCAGGAGAAGCCCCCTCCCGATCTCTTCCCAGGAAGAGGGACGGCGGGCGCCCCCCCTTCCCGGAGCTCCCTGACCTCTGGCCGGCGGGAGACCCCGCGGCGCAGCGGGCCGCCCCCCGGGCGCGCCGCCCCTGCACCCCCGGGCGCGGCGGGGCCGGCGGGGTCAAGGCCGCGGGGAGCGGCCCAGGTCGCTGGGGTTAATGGCCCCGCGCTCGCCGGGGCGAGGGGGCGGCGGGACGCGGGCTCCAGAGCTGGAAGCGAGTTCAGGGATCGTAAATAGCTGAGGGAAAACGTGTTAATTGGAACTTTATGCAAATAAGCTGGGACGGGGCGGGGGGGGGGCGGGCGGGCAGGAGGCGGTCAGACGGCGCGGGACCCGAACCCACGTCCCCGCGCGGGCCGGAGGGCACCGGGGCGCGCGTCCCCCGCCTGCGCGCCGGGTCTCCGGGGAGCGCCGCGCGCGCTGGGGACCAGAGGCCGCCCCCCGCCCCCCCCGCCCCCCGCCGCCCCAGGAAGGAGGTGCGCGCGCTTCCAGGGTCTGCATCCCCGACCGCAAGTTCAGGTCTCCGAGCGCCACGAGAGGGAGTTCGCCAGCCAATGTATTTCCACTTGGGACAGCTGACCGCGGCTCTCCCCTTAGCTGTGCCCCCCGCACCCCCACCTCGATGTCCTCGCACTCACGGCCTCCGCCCCCCCCCCCCCCGTCATTCTGCACCCGTGGTGCCGCCCTCCCTGCGCAGGAGCGCAGCGTGCAGCCTCCAGGGCTGTGTGCGGTGGGGGGCGGGGGGGGGGTAAGTTTTCTCCCTTCGCTTTCTCCCGTCTGCCCCCACCGTGAGAAGTTTCTGAACCTTCCCAGGGCTCATACCTCAGCCCCACTTGACAAAATGCAGATTCCAGGGCCCCTTAGTGATCTGAGTCAGCAGGTCTGAGAGGTTCAGGAATCTGCATTTTTAGCAGCTTCCCACCTAAATCAGATGTAAAAGACCTTCATTTTTAGAAACACTGGGAGTTGGTGGCAGGAAAGACTGAGCAAGCCTCCCTTACTGCAGCCCCCCACTTCCAACTCTTCCCATGTGCTCCTGACCTCACCTGCTCAGGGTGGCGCCTCTGCTTCCGGTGTGAGAGGACCAGGTGGGGCAGGTGCCAGGAAGGGAGGAGAGAGGGTCTCGCCCTCCTTTCTCTGTGCCTCCTCCCCCCTCACCTGCACCATCTTCCTGTCTTACTCCACCTACCTTGCCTCACCTTCCCCCTTCCTCATCCCAACTTCCCAGGAAAGCCAGATTTGTGGGGTGAGCCATATGGCTCTTAGGGGGGAAATGTCAGCGCCAACCAAAGCTCCCACTGCCAAAAGAAGGAGGTGGGGCACCTCTGGAGTTGGGGGAAAAAAAGAAGAACAGAAGGGAGGCAGGACTTGAGAAAAGATAACAGCAAACATGTAGGTCACCTTTCCATGGGTGATTGCACTTGCTCCCCACAACAACTCGATTTAGACAGGTGCTATTGCCTTCAGGTTACAAATTAAAAAAAAAAAAATGTTCAGAGAGGTTAAGTAACTTTCCCAAGGTCACACAGCTTGTCATTGGAGCATAGCTAGGTCATTCACCCTTCTAGGTCTCCAGAGTCATTTCTCCAGAGGCCACTGGATAGCTGTCCCTGGCCTGCCCACCCTGCCCTCCCCCCAGGGGCAATAGGATGGGGAAGGGCATTATGGACAGAGATGAAGGGAGATGATCAGGTTTCGGAACATCTGACAGGTCTGGCTGGAAGCATTAAAAATTCATGCAGAAACCTGACCCCAGCTGGACCTTGGGCCTGCCACCTGGACTGTCCCTGGCCTTGTGGCCTCTCAGAGTCTGGTGCGCGAATTTCTCTCTTCAGCATTGCGCTGGGAGCCCCAAGTCTTTGTATTTCATGGGAAAGGGGTTCTCTGAACTAGAGATCGAAAGGCAGGAGCCGGCAGCTCAGAAGACAGGGCTGAGAGTCCTCCCGACTCGGAGTGTAAGAGCTTTAGAGGCTTAAGAGCTTATAAACCTTGTCATCTGCCCTCCTTCTCCAGGTCCTCTCCTGCTCACTCCCTGGGTGACCAAGCCTGGCTGTAATTCCCAAGGTGGCCAGTAAGGGGCAGCCGCCTGCATGGAGGGAACCAGAGCTGGGGAGCCTGTCATCTGAGGAGAGAGGGAGAGGGTTTCCAGTTTGGGGGAGGTTGAGGGACTTCAGGGAGAGTTCCAGGTAGGTTTGTGGGTTTCACACAGAGGATAAATGGCGACCAGCACGGTGCGATCGTTCTAACTGGAGGCTTGGGAGGAGGCTGTGAGCAAGAAAACTAGACAGGCAGTTGCTCCTGGACTCTGAAGTCTCTGCTCCTTTGCTCGGGGGTTCTGCCTCCAATGTGCAGGTGACAGGGAGCCATTGTCCGACCCCGGGGGACACAGTGACATCATGCCAAGCTTGTTCAGATGGATCCGGCCGCCACGGGCAGGCCGGGTGGGAGGGAGAGAGAGATTGAGTGTGGGAAAACCAGAGAGGAGGGCATTGCTATTTTCTTCTATATTCTAGGCATGAGGTAACGAGCAGAGCAGGGAGGTGGTAGGGGGAGTGGAAAGGAAGACATGGCTGGGCGGGAGGGGCCCGGGTGAGTGAGTGAGTGAGTAGATCCAGGGGATTGCAGACGTCTAGGGGTCCACCACGGCAAGGCTGACTGTGGGTGCACTCAGAGAATGTGGGAGGCAAGCGAGATTTGCTTCCTTCAGGGATGGGGAGTCCTGGACTAGTCCTTCCATCTCTCAGGGCCTCAGTTTCCCCATCTGAGCATGGGTGGGGGGTAGACTGGAAGGCTCGGAAATCCCTTCTATTTCAGGGTATGTGGCTCAAGACTGTCACGCCGGGGTGTTTGGGGAGACTGGGGTCTGTGGTGTGAGCTCTCAGGGGTGGTCTCTGTGCGGGTGTGTGTGCTTGTCAGCGCTTGGGGTGCATCTGCCTGTTTGTGGCGCCTGTGGGTGTTGGCGTGCCTGCATGTGCTCCCTCGCTCCGCATTGTGCGAGTGTGTGCGAGAGCGTGTGTGAGCGTGGGTGTGCACGTGATGGGTGTCCGTGGGTCTGTCTGGGCTGATGGTGGCGGAGGTGGGGGTGGTGGGAGGCGGCCGCGCTGTGGGCTTCTTCCTGAGGCTCACACACTCCGCTTGCTCTCGCTGTTCGGAAATAGCATCTGGACCGAAGGCCCATGAATATTTCACAATGATAATTCTGTGACCTGGACAGCCTGCTTTGGATTTACCAGCATCCTGCCCAGGTTCCAGCAGCCCCTCCTCCCTCAGGGCTCTTGCTGAGCTGGTTGCCTAGTCCCACTCCTCAGCCTCCTCAAAGCCGATCTGACACAGATCCCTGAGAGACCCCACACTTGGGGGTCCCCAGGTTCCTGATTAGCTGGAGGCTCCCCCCCCCACCCCAATGCTCATCCAAAGTCCACCTGCCTCAGGCCTGGGAGGGTCACTCCTTTTCCGTTCTGCCTCCTACCACCCTTCTGACTTGCCCCAGTACCCCACCTCCTTGAACCCCAGCCTCTGGGTCTCTTCTCCCTAGTCTACCTCCCAAGGTAGATTCTTAAGCCTGAAGTGAAAGCGTCAAGTTTCTCTCCAATTGCTTCTGTGAGACTCACCCTTAATCCTCCTCCCAAGTCCTTCCTGGCCTGGGCTCTTCCCTTCTCCCAGCTTCTCCTTCACATACCAGAAAGGTGGAGCTTCTGATTATACCCAACACAGAGGGATTTTTGTTCCTCTGATCACCCTAGCCCCCCAGTCCTTCTTCAGCCCGTTTGCAGAAGTGCTTCTGATCTGATTCATCCCTCATGCCTTCTGCCTCACAGGGGCCAAGGGGCACAGGGGCCAAAGAGACTGTCGCCAGGGTGGCTTGGACAGTTGTGCAGGATGTACACTGCACAAGGGCACTCAGCCCAGGGGCAAGTGTGAACTCAGATGCAGTCTTAGGTTCTGCTTGCTAAGGTGTTTGCTCTGGGGCCGGGAGGTCATGTTTGGGCTGGCTGTGACCATGGCGGTCTAGACGGAGCCTTACTCTCCCTTGCAGGGGGTGGGATTGTCATGTCCGGAAGTGACGGGGCTTGGGAGAGAGCCCTGAGCCAGGCTGGAGGCTGTCCCCAGGCTTAGCTCTGACAAGTCAGGGTCAGCGCTGCCTCTGGACCAATGAGAGAAGGCGCTGTCAGCAGCACCCACTCTTGGCTGCCATATTTCTAGGGCCTCTGAGGTTTCCTCTTCTTTGTCCTCCAGGGAGTTGGACACCTGCTCTAGCCAGCAGGAGGTGCTCTGACAGCAGGGGATGGCTCCTTTCTCTAGAACCCTCCTGGCCTGGAAATCTTCATGGTTCCAAACCGTCTACCCTCTTTTGAGGTCCTGAGCCCACAAATCTTACAGAAGAAGGTAAAATAATAGAATTTTTTAATAAATTTTTTTCCCAAACAACTTCTGTTGATCTTCACCACACAGGGGCCACGGTGGAGAGGAAAGCTCTCTCCAGGCACCCTAAAAAGTGTCCAGGGTAGACTTCGGAGAAAAGTATTCCTCCAGTGTCGGGAGGTTGAGGGGGGCTAAGATAAGCAGGGGCCTGGGGTTAGCCTGGCCCGGCCGGAGGCATCCCTCCAAAGGGCTCCGCGGTGGGGCTCCCTCCCGGGAGCCTCCAAAGGCTCTGCTGGTGGAAGATGCTCTGCAAAGGCCCCTCTCGTCCACTGTGGGTCCTGGAGAAGCGGCTGCCTGGGGTGCCTCACCCCAGTCTGGGGATGGGACGGAGTTAATGGTCAGAGTTGGGAAGAACAGGGCTGAGCCGCCAGACGCGTCCTCCTGGGGTTGCCACAAGGCAGCAGCCCGGGAAGCCTGAAGGGGCGGCCTGGCTGCCTGGGCAGAGGGGGGCTGGGGGGGGGGCAGGAGGACAGCAAGGCCAGGGGGCGGGACTGGGCCGGAGCCGCAGCTGGGGGAGTGGGGCCCGGGGTGCGACCCGACCCGCTGTCTTCAGTCTCAGCACCGCAGTCAGAGGTGGTGGGGCGCCAGGAGCAAGAGGCAAAGCAGAGGGGTGGGGAGCCCGGCCACGAGCGCCGGGCCGCGCGAGTCCGGGGGCGCCCGGCAGGCCGCCCCGGGGCACGTCTGCTCCCCGCGCTGGTCCTCGCCCCCGTACCCCCCCCAGTAGTCGTCCTCCGTGGGCGCGTCCCCGCCCTGGCGTCCCCGCGGGTCCTCGGCGGGCAGGTCTCGGTAGAGGGTGGAGGGGTCGGCGGGGGGCGCCCCGGCCTCGGCCACCCCCACCCCGTACAGGTGGTTGGAGGAGCTGTTGCCGCGGGCGCGGCTGCCGGGCCGCGTGGGCGCCGCGGGCGGGCAGGCCTGGAAGTCGGCCTCGCGGAGCGCGCGCAGGTCCCGGCCCTGGCGCTCGGGCGGGGTGGCGCAGGTCACGTCGGAGCTGGACACGCGCGCGCGCTGGAACCAGGCCCAGAGCGGCCGCGCGCGGCAGTCACACGCCCAGGGGTTGGCGTTGAGCCGCAGGAACTCGAGCGCCGGCAGGTCGGCCAGCGCCTCGCCGGGCAGCGAGGCCAGGCTGTTGTTGAACAGGTAGAGGATGGTGAGGCGGCTGAGGCCCCGGAAGGCCGCGCGGTGCACGCCCTGCAGCCGGTTCCCGTGCAGCAGCAGCCGGTCCAGGCTGCCCAGGCCGCGGAACACGTGCTCGGTGAGTAGCCGCAGGCGGTTCCCGTGCAGGAAGAGGTGGCTCAGGTTGGCCAGGTCCGCGAACAGGTCATCCTGGAGGACGAGGAGAGAAGAAAAGAGTGGTCCTGAGGCCCGTGCAGACAGCTCCTTGGGGCCTGGACAAGGGGAGTGGGGAGCATCAGGTAAAAAGGGTGGAGCTTTGGATTCCTCGAGCCCTGGGTTCAAATCCTACCTCCTCGACCCTATGTAGAGGCTAAGGTAGAAGAAGCAGTAGAGGGCCTCCCTGGTGGCGCAAGGGGTTAAGACGCAACCTATGAAGCTGTCCGTAGCCACTGCAGCACGAGTTCAATCCCCAACCAGGGAGCAACCCACATGGTGCAGCAGGCCTCTCCTGTCTGACCCGCTGCTCCCCTCAGCAGTGTATTTCAGTCAGTCTGCCTGTTCTGTTCCCCACCCTGTCTCTGGTGAATCCTCTCACCCCCCACACCTCTGGCCTGTACCCCAGTTCTTGCATGCATAAATAAATCAATCTTTAAAAAAAAAAAGGAAAAGCATTAGAGATGAGGCCAGGGTCCATCATAGTCCCTGGCAGATCCCTGAGCTCCACCTCCCCCCCAGTTGCTGATTCAGCAGGCCTGGGGGGTTGGGGCTGCATATCTTTACAAGGTCCCAGGTGAGGTTGATGCTGTTGCTCAGAGGACTGCACTTGGGTGAATGAGAAAACCTGGCCCGGTTTGGCCAGCTCCTTTGTTTGGGCAGGTTAGGGTATCTCTGTGACTCAGTTGCTTCTTCTGTAAGAGGTGAAGGTAAATGGGCCACGCTAGTTGGCTTGGCCAGCCAGCCAACGCCCTCACCTGTTGCCTCTTCTGTAAAATGGGGGCGAATGCCCTTGCTGGTGGATTTGTTCTAAAGGAGACAGTCAAGCAAAGGGCATGAGTGAAGGGCTGGGCACAGACTCCATCCAGGGAAGAAGTCCAGATGCTGGGCAGGCCAGCTGGCCCTCAGCCCAGCTGTGTGACCCTGGGTAAGTCACTTAGCCTCAGCCAGCCTCAGTTTCCTCAGCACGTGGAACTCAGCAGGCCAAGGGAGGCCGAGATGAGCCCCGCTGAGGAGACGGGACCTGGAGGACACAGAAAGCACCCGCTGTGGATTGTGGTTGTTGTGACCATGGGACTCAGAATCGGGTCCTAACCCTTTTCCTCTAACAGTGATTGTCTCTGGGGCCCCACAGGCCTCCTAGTTTGTTGGGACATTAGGGGGACCATGTGTCTTTTCCAACCCTTAGAGGGGTAGTCCCGCCTGGCCTGTCCAGAATCGGGGAGCCTCTGAATCAGGCCATGTTAGTGCTGGAAGGCCCTTGAACTGGGGTTCAGAATGAATGGGGGTGGGGATGCTCCATGGCAGGAGGCACAGGGAGCCGGACTCTGCATTTTAACCAGTTCACCAGGGAGCCGGTGATGATCAGCCAGACTTGGGAGTTGGGGCTGCTGGGTTCATCAGCCCAGAGCACTTCTTACAGAGGACAGCGGTGACACTGGAGAGATGCACGGTTTGCCGGAGGGACCAGCCCCCAGCACTGAGGTCCTCTCCTAGGTGCAGGCCATCACGGTGGCCAGAGGGCCCAAGAGCTCTGCTTCTTGGGGCACAAGGATCCTGCTTGCCCCAGGAGGGTCCAAGTTCCCTGCCTCTGGCTCTCCTACCCTTCCCCGCCTGGAGAGTTGATTCCCACCCCCACCCCCCAGCCTGATCAGAGGCTCTCAGGTGGGGGGAGGGCGTTGACTCCCAGCCCACACCCACAGCCTCCACCTTCCTGTGCTCCTGCGTGTTCTCGCCCCCTCCCATCTGGCTTCCGCCCTCTTCGCTACAGGAACTGAGCTTGCCAAGAGCCCTCCTCTTGGCCACATTGAGATCCGTCCCCCTCAACCTTCTCGGCTGCCTCTGACACCAGCCTTCTCCACCCCCTGTTGCCACCGCCCCACTCCCAGCTCAGGTTCCTGTGGGCTTCCTGCACCTGGGTGACTTCAACCCGGCCCCGCGTGGCCAGGACCCTTGTCTTCTCCCTGGCCTCCCAGTAGGCTCTGAATCTTTGCCAGGCAAGCACCAACTTAGGATTTCTCTCTTATATGGAGTGTTAGCAAGGATGGGACACACCCAGGGGTATCTGGTCGAAGGATCAATTTGGGGGGCTGGAGGGTAGAAAGAACAAAGGTCACAAGCACCTGGGGGACTTGGGGAGATCAGAAGGGAAGACCAAAGGCCTAGAGGCCAGAGGCAATTCAAGCGCCTTTGCCCCACGGGCCCAGGTTTTGGGCTACAGGATTGCTTGATGCCAGTCTCACCTCCATCCCTTTTTGTCCCTCTACAAAAGTGCTCCCTCTCTGAGCCTCACCCTGGGGGTCCATTCCCCCAACCACACACATGCACACCTCCAAGCTGTTGCCAAATGCTGCTGCCACTTTCTGGGCGGCAGCTCTCAAATCCGGTCCTTCCTCTCCATCCTGAAAACCATTCACTGTGCATTAATAAGCTCTTGACTTTCATAGCCTTCCCCCCCCACCCGCCCGCCCAGCTCCCCCTTCCTCTGGGCTGAGCGTCTGCTAAAGTCATCCTCTTCCATTTCCAAACCGCATTTCCCTCACCTCTCCCAGTTGGTTCACAGCTCTCTGCATCCATTTGGAATCCCAGGACAGCATCCCTGCCCCCTTCCCAGGACAACATCCTGTTCTTAACCTTGCCTCCTTCCAACCTCCCTGCTCCAGTCTCTGGCGCTATTGGGCTGTGTGACCTTGGGCCCCTCCAGGCACCTCTCTGAGCCTCAGTTTTTTCCATCTGTGAAACAAGGGACTCAAAATAGTTGATCTATTAAGATCCAGCCTCATCTGATATTTATGAGTAAGGGAGTCCTGGAATGGACCTCATTCATTCACCAAATCTGTAAGAGTGTGCTCTGTGCCAGGCACCCCCGCGCACAGCGCTCACCCTCTGTGGGGTGTCGTCATCAGCATGGCGTCAGCGCCACTCAGCAGCTGACTTACTGAGCTGTCACGGTGGGCCAAGCTCTGCCACACTGACCCGGGGACTCACTTCGGCTCCACAGCCCCAAGAGGCAGGTGTTACGGCGGTGGCCCCTCTGGAGGTTAGGACGGGGGCTCAGAGAAGGCAAGCGACTTCCCTGGGCTCCAACAGTCCTGTGGGGTGCCATGTGGGTGGGGACTCTGGAGACAGGGCTGCGAGCAAGAGTCCCACCAACTGGCCAGTTCTCTGCCCCTGCGTGGCTGAGCTCGCTGGTGCTGGTGCCTCACTAACCTCAGGGTCCTCGGCCATCCATTGGGGGCAACTAGTTGATTATGCTGAGCCCTTTTCAATGAGCTGCTCCTTTAACCCTCACGGCCAACCCCAGGTTCAGGTCTTCTCCATTTTATGAATGGGTCCGCGGAGGCTCAGGGTGGTGAAGTAACTTGCCCAAAGCCACAGAGTGGATCTGCCTGTTGGCAAAGGCAGCTCTCCTACCTGCACTGGCACCACGTGGGCGCTGTGATGATTGAGAACAGAAAGTGTGTCTCTATCATCTGGTTCCACTTAAGCAGGCGCTGCGCTGCGGGAGAACAGGGGCAGTTTCTCTTTACGCCTGCATCCCTGGCACCCAGCACACTGCCTGGCGTGTAGTAGATGCTCAATAAATATCTGTCGGTGAAAGAACCCACCTGGCACGGTGCCTCACAATCAGCAGACACTCCATCCCAACCCGTCTCCATTTCTTCTGCTACATCCTGCACGTTGCCTCCTCCAAAGCCCCCTCCTGGGGGCCAGGCCTGGCCCTAACGTGGGTCACACCTGCATTCTGTGGCTCTCACCCCAGCCTGTGTGCTTCCTCACCTGCCTAGTCCTGCCAGGCCGCTCACAGGTAGGGGCCAGGCTCTTTCTCTTCTAGACAGAGCCAAGGTGAGGCTGTGCCTTCCCAGGCTGCCTGGTCCTGTTCACACCAGCAGCGTGCAGAACAGACACTTACAGGTTGGGAAGATCCCGAAGGCAATCCAGTGCCCCTGCCTACCTCAGACCTGCCGGTCATGGAGGACAGGTCACAGGGACCAGGATACAGCTCTGTGGGCTCTTCATACAACTTATTCACTCTTTGCAGTCATTCTTGGTGGAAAATATTATTTTTTATTACTCCCATTTTAAAAAGGAGGAAACAGGCCTCTTTGGTGGTGCAAGGGGTTAAGTCTCAGAACTATGAAGCTATCACCAGCCACTGCTGACTGAGTTCGATCCCTGGCCAGGGAGGTGACACACAGGGTGCAGCTGACCTCCCCTGTCTTGCCTGCTGCTCCCCTCAGCAGTGTATTTCATCAGTCTGCCTGTTCTGCTCCCCACTCTGCCTCTGGTGAATCCTCTTACCCCCTGCACCTCTGGCCTGCACCCTCATTTTTATATGCATAAGTAAATAAAAATAAATCTTAAAAAAAAGGAGGAAACAGGTTCAGAGAGGGGAAGCCACATTCCTAAAAGTAATCAAGTCTAAAAGTAAAAAAGTACAATACTAGAGGGATTCAAACTTAGGTCCTCTGGCCTCAGAGTCCTCATTCTGAACAACTAATAAATATCGATAAGGAGGTCAGGGTCTCGGCTACTGCATTACTACTGGCAGTGATGAGTATAATCATAATGATAATGTCTCTAGAATGAGTGTGGCTTAATTGTAATCCTTACGAGGCTTCTTAGTTAAGTATTATTTAGTAAGTGCTGTCACAGTTGCCATTTTGGAGATCAAGAGAGATTAAGTAATTTTTCCAAAGTCACGTAACAGACAGGACTCTACCCTGGGTCTGCCAGCTCGGAAGTGTGTGTTTTCCAGTATTTTCTCCTGCACCTAGACAGACCTCATGGAGGGTTCTGTGTGACGCGTGGCCCCTGGGACTTCCATTCCATGGTAGTAGGGCAGTCCCTACTGCCCCTCGGTGTCCCTCCTGTTGTTGAGGCATTAGACAAATTTAGGAAGTAAAGAACCTATTCGTGACCCGGTGTAATCCTGGAAGTTGACCCAAATCTCCAGGATGGGGTCCAACTGGGCCATTTCACCAAGACCAGTATTAAATAGGCAAGTTTCTTTTTTTGAAATCGAATTTAAGCAGCATTTATATAGTGCTTTCCATATGCCAAACACTGTTCTAAATGCTTTACAAATTATTCATGCCCTTAGCATTTATAAAATCCCTAAGAGACCGGTGCTCTTTTACCCTCATTTTACAGATAGAAAAACTGAGGCTCGGGTTGATTATCAAAGGTCACAGGCTTGTAACTGGCAACAACGACCACTGCGGAGTCCTGAGCACAGCCTGACCCAGCGTGGCCTCCGAGCGGCTGCGGGGCTGTTAGCATCACCGTTATTCGTGCAATCATAACACGTGACATAGTTTTCCCACGTACTATGTATTTTCTCGTCTCTCTCCCCTCTAGGATGCTCGCTCTGTGAAGGCAGGCGCTTGATTTGTTTTGCACATACTGGGCGCTCAGTAAAAGCTGTTATCTTATTATTGCTATTCTTCTTATTTCCAGTGTCCATAATGACCCGATTTTCAAATCAGCTCCTGGGTGGCCAGGCAGGCAGCGGCCCTGGGTGGGGGGGTGAGGATGTGCCTTCTAGGTTTGTGGGGGGGAGGGGAGGATCAGGTCATTCTTGTCTCCTCTGAGCCAGAGGCCGCATCCAGGGAGGATTTTCTCCCAGAATGGCTTGGAGGCTGTGTTAATGTTTCCCAGGGAAGCAGAATGGGAGGCTTTGGCTGTCAAACAGTCAGCATAACAACAATAAACAATATTTAGATCAATAATAATAACAATAAATAGCAATTCCTGTTATTCCTTCCGTTTTCAGAACATCTACTTTCCAGCTACTTAACAGCTCTTAACTCTTTTTTCCCCTTCGTTCTCTGCACTGAGATGGCAGGTTTGGGGGACAGGAATCGAGGTGGGTAGGGTCTCCCTTTGTCTTACTGTCCGGTGGAAATGCTAGGGGACATTTCTTTGGGGTACCGGCTGCAGTGACCCTGCTGTCGGGTTCCACTTTCCCTGATGTGGGAGGGCCCGGGGGCGGGGGCGCTGATAAGAGCAGCCGCACAGGCCCTGGGAAAAGCAGAGTCCCCCGAAGGCAAACAAGGGGAAGGAGGGATCAGAAAGAGACACACATACACCCAGACAGACATGGGGGTGTGTGTGGAGTGGGCGTGCGAAGGGAGACAGACAGAAGAGGCAGAAGACAGATGGGGGAGGCAAGCTAGCCAGAGCGGCGGAGAGGGACAGGAGAGGACAGACAGGCAGCGGGAGCTGGGGTGGGTTGGGGGCGCGAGGCTGGAGTGTGGGGGGAGCTAATCAGAGAGATGCAGCCAGGGACCCAAACAGGTGTAGACAGACAGAGGAAGAGAATGAGGAGAGTCAAAAAGAACCCCCTGGGGAAAGTGTAAGGGGCAGAAAGTTAGAGTGAGGACAGAGGAACAGAGATTTCAAGGCAGGCAGGGCGGCCTGGGGAGGGGAGGAACACAGGACAGAGAAGTGGGTGTGTGTGTGTGTGTGTGCGCGCGTGTGCATGTGCGTGTGTGTGCTGGGGGAGGTGCAGGCTTACCTGGAGGTGGAGCAGGCTGTTCTCCTGGAGGTAGAGGTACTGCAGGCTGACCAGGCCGCGGAAGATGTTGCCGGGCAGGCTGCTGAGCTGGCAGCGGTACAGATGCAGGGACTGCAGCCGCTCCAGGCCTTGGAAGGTGTCGGGCTCCAGGGAGCGCAGGTGCCGGTTGTCCCCGAGGTCCAGCTCCTCCAGGGCCTGCAGGTGGCGGAAGGTGCCCGGGTAGATGGTGGAGAGGTTGTTGGAGAAGAGCCACAGAGTGAGCAGGTTGGGCCCGAAGGTGCCGGGCCGCAGCGTGCGGATGAGGTTGTTCTGCAGGAAGAGGCGCTGCGTGCTGGGCGGCAGGGCCAGTGGCACCGAGGAGAAGTTGTTGGCCTGGCAGCTGACGGTGGGGGGCGTGGAGTAGCAGGTACAGAGCATGGGACAGCTGGGGGCCGCAGGGGGCAGGGCCAGGAGCATCAGCAGGAGGCAGGCTGAGGTGGGACCTGTGCAGAGGGAGGAGAGGCCTCTGGGTGGGCACCAGGGCAGGAGGGGCAGCAAGGCTGCCCTGGCCAGAGCCTCCTGCTTCCAGGTGGGGATGGGGTGGGGATCAGGTGCACCCTCAGTGTGGCCAGAGGTCCTGGTCACTTCCACTGTTTAAATCTCCTGGTTTTTCAAACAATAAAGAAAATGCTAAGATGACATTGTAGGAAGCCCTGGGTGCACTTAAACTTGTTGGGGTGTGATGGGCTTCTTGGGTTCCTGTTCTCAGGCTGCTGGGTTTGACCTTGTTCACTGTCAGGGTGTATGAACCTTGGTGTTGGCAGCTGGGTGGACAGTTCTTTGTCTAGGGGGCAGTCCTGTATGACACACTGTTTAAGGTTTGTAGCAGCCGCCCTGTTCTCTACCCACTAGATGCCAGTCACACCTACCCCCAGTTATGACAGCCCAAATGTCTCCAGACATCGCTAAATGTCCCCCAGGGAGCAAAATCACCCTTTGTGAGCCACAGCCCATGTAATGGCCCTCTGGTTGCGCAGGGATCCAGCCTTGCCAAGTGCATGGGTGGCCTCAGCCCTCTTCCCTCACCCCTGCAGCATCCAACTTCTAAGAACCAGAGCTGCCCCACAGCAGGGGCCCTGGGGGGGCAGGGTCAGTGCGTCCACCTAGCTCGGGCCACCTGCCACTTGCAATAGAATGGGAGGGGGTGTTGTGGAAAGAATGCAGCTTCCTCGGCCCTGTCATGAGGACAGCTGGGAATCTGCATTCTACACCCAGGCACTTCTCATTAAAATCGCTTAAAAACACTTTTTACTCAAAGCAACGTTTGAGGTTGGCTCTGGGGCCTAGAGTGGAGTCTGGGTTGCACAGCCCTGGGCTGTGCTAAGATGAGATCAGGACCCTTGGCCATTCGGACTCACTCTCATGCCTTTTCTGAGGCTGATAAAGTTCTGGACTGGACCGAGCTCAACCTCCACCCTTTATGTAGATGACTCTGGGGTTTCTTCTGGAAGGTGTGCCTGGGGAGAAGGGGTGCCAGAACCTCCAAAGCTGGGCAGTCTTTCCTGGGCACACGTGGGCTTCAAGTGTGTGTTAGGCTGGTGAAGGCAGAAGGAGAGGCAGACCTGGCCCTTGGCCTCGAGAACTTCAGATCCCAGGGCTCCTTGTGGGGAGTCTGAGGGGCTCTGCCTGCAAGGGAGGCCTGGAGCTCCGGAGGCTGCTGTGCACACAGTGAGGAGGCACGTGTGTGATGGGGGAGGGCGTGGTCCGGGGCCTCCCTGCAGTGCTGCCTGGCAGGGTGTGTGGCCGGCATGGGTCCCAGGTGGCCCTGGTACCAGGCTGCCCAGTGTGACTCCTCCCATGGGGAACACACAGGCCAGGCGGGGACCCCACGCCCCGGGCCTGGGCCTCCTGGACGTCGGGCGGGCGTACCCACGTGGCCCTCGCCGCCGCCGGGCGTGCGTGTGCGCGCTGGCTGGGCTCCGCGTGTGTGTGAGTGCCAGGCCCCGTGCGTGTGTAGGCTGGGTGTGATGTAATACCCAGTGACACAGCGGCTGCTGTTCCATTCCGTTCACACCACCTCCGCGCTTCTCGGCCCTTCTCACCCCTCCCCCGGGCGGCGTTTCACGATTACTTTCTCCTCCTGAGTTTTTCAAAGCCACGTGGGGTGCAGGAGCCTGTCTCTCACCCCTCAACTGCACCAGCCAGGGGTGGGGTGTGGGAGTACCTCAGGGAAGCCTGGGTGGGTTTCTCCAGTCCTGAGGTTTGTGGCTTCGTGGATTTCAGAGCTGGTTGTCCAGATTTGTGTAGCGCAAGCTCTTGTTCTACTCTGGCGACAAGGAGGACTCAGAGAGGGGAAGTGACTTGCCCAAGGTCACACAGCAAAGGGAGCGGCAGGGCCAGGCCGGAGTCTCCAGATGCCAAGGCCAGGGCACTTCCCTTTCTGTCAGTCACCCTCAGAGCTTGCTTTCCTGAGGACTTGACACCAGACAAGCCAAATCCTTTTCTGATCCCTTAATCTCATCCCTATCCCCGAGCTCACAAGTGTGGGCTCCAAAGCCCGCCCGCGCCAGCCCTCAGGAGCTTTATGGAGCTTCCCCAGACCCTAGTGCTGACCGCTGACCAGGACCAGCAGAGACAGAGGGAGGGATGCACAGCTCCCAGGTCTCTGGGGTCAGGGGCCACTTTCTTGGCACCAGGGTCTCTGCCAGCCTGGAGGGTGAGCTTGGCAGGAGCTGGCAGGGAATCCTCTGCCCATCCCTCTTCCCCACATTAGGGGGCTCCTCTCTCCTTTCTGCAGCCCCTCCCTCTTGCCACCTCTATCCCGGCCCACCTCCCCAGGCTGGGACGGTGTTCCCTGCAGCTTCTTGGAGGAGGGACCCTGAGCAGGGGCCCCTCCATGACAGCTGCTGCGTAACAGTGACTGTTGCCATTTCTGGCCCTCGCTGCGCCGCCGTGCAAGGCAGCTGTAACCCAAGGAGCCTCATCCATAATTCAGGCTGCGGCTCTCACTGGAGGCAAGGAGGAGGGGAAGGTGGGGGGCTCTGGGTTTCTCTGCCCCCAGGCCTGGCTAGAGCGCTCCGGGGCAGAGGAGGGGGCTGGCGAGCTGCGCCTTCTCTCCTTGCCTTTCTCTCCTCATGCCTCCCTCATCCCTGCCTCGAGGTGCCCTTTTCCTTCACGCCCTGGTCCTCTCTCCACCCTCTGCCTCTCACAGCTCGCACTGCCACACCTCCTGCCAGACTGGCATCCTCTGCCCCCAACCACAGTTCTTCTCTTGCCCCCATTTTGTGAATCCCCCACAAAGATTGGGGCAAGATGCACTAAGTGTCCAAGCTGGAAGGAAGAGAACTCAGCAGCCAGCAAACCCCTTCTTTTATAGATAACCCGGCCGAAGGCTGGATGGGTCAGTTACTGTGGGAGATGCCCGGTGTCCTGACTTGATGCCTTCAGTGTCTTTCTCACCGCCTGCGTAGCTCGGCTCCAACAAGCCAGCCCTTTGCATCAGCCCCCCACTCTTTCTTCCTCCTCTGCTCTCAACTCAGCAGGCCATGGCTGGGGTTGCAGGGAGTGTACAGAGGACAAAGAGAAGCCATCTGTTTTGAAGCACCTACTGTGTGCCAGGCGCTGGACTTGCACACGTCTTTATGCATGGAACACACAACACAAGCCCCATGAGGTCACTGTTATGGGCCCCCAGTTGCAGATGAGCAAAGGGCGGCTGAAAACGGCGATGAGCTCCCTTGGGCATTGGTACAAGGCGGACTTTGGGCTCAGCCAGCTCATGTCGGGAGGGACTCTGCAACCTTTCCTTGGGAGACCCCACGTCATCCCTGGAAAGCCACCCTGAGTGTCAGAGACACTGCCCTTGATGGGGGTGGGGGTGGGGGGTGGTGGGGGGACGGGGGGGGGGGGAGGTGCCCAGAAACCGTGCCCGGTGCACAGGGACCACAGCCAGAGGCGCGAAGTTCTGTTTGGCCGTTGGGGTCAAGGCAGGAAGAACCCGGGTCCTCTCTGCAACTTTCCTCCTTGGCCTCCGCGGCCGCTCTAAAGGACAGCCCACCTGGGACTCAAGAAGAAGTGACCCGTGTCTGGAAGACGTGGCCAGAACTGACCAGGGGAGGGAGCGGAGAGAGGCCAAAAGAGGGTATTGATCCCGGAAGGCCGAGGCGCCCCAGCCAAGAAGCATCCATTCACAGAGGGACGGTGCTCCAGGCTGCCACCTGGGGGGGCACGGGGCTCTGAAACAAAGTTCTCACCCTCGGCGCCGCCTTGACTTCAGAGGGCGCTTGAAGAAGAGGCAGATGGAGTCGGGGCTGGAGTTGGGGTGCGAACCCCCAGGCCAGAGTGGCCCCAGGAAAGGTGCTCCCTGGAGGGGGGGTCAAGACCTCTAGCTCTGGAGGACGGACATAGGGTCCCAGATCAGAAGCCACAGCTCACACCCCGAAAGCAGGGGAAGGGGAAGGGCTGGGACCTGCCGGGCAGATGCTGAGGGGGCAGGGGCTGAGGAGGTGGGATCCAGGAGCGGAATAGAGGTGGCAGCGAGCTAGTGACGCAGGGGCCTGGGGAGGCACTGACGCGGGGACGGAGGTTTAGAGCTGCTGCAAACAGCTTCTCACTCTGCCAGAATGTAACACCCCAAAATAAGCAGCCACCGTGCTGGTGGCGGGGACGGCCACGGCGGCAGGATCCCGACGCCGGGACCCAGAGATATAAATGGCAGCACGAGCCAGCCAGGGTGCCCACCCTTGAGGCTGTCTCCCCGCTCACACATCCTCCCCCTGCCTCGCAGGGCCACCCCCAACCCGGGCTCGGAGCTCCTGGGTCTGCGCCCCCGGCCACTCCCTGACTGGAGGCTGTGCCGCAGGCGCCTCGGGAAGGGGCGCGCTTCCCTCGTGGAAGGGGTGGCCAGAAGCCTCTTTGTCTCATCCCTGGAAAGCCCCCCTGGTCCTTCTCTCCCACGCCTTCCCCTCCCTCCGCCCTTCCTTTTCCCCACCCCCTTATTCTGGTCAGACCCCAGCCCCTCTGCCCGGCGGTCCCCAGGCCCCATCCCAGCGCGCATCTGGGACTTCCTCCTGCCCGCTGGCCTCTCCAGCGCTCCCCTCGTCGGCTTCCAGAAGGCCACTTCCCTGCCCACCGCCCCAGGGCCCCAGGCCGCGTTTTCTTTCCATACCCCCCCCCAATTCTGGGTCCTCGGCTGCCTCCTTCCACCGCTCCCCTAACCTGCTCGCCCCGCGCCCTCCGGCCTCACCTGGCGCCCGCTCGCCTGCTCCCCCTCTCCTCCAGCCTTTATTCCTCCCCCCAACAGCTCCCCCCACTTTCTCCGTCTTTGCCCGACCCCTTCTCCCCCACCCCAGCCTCGGCCCACACCCTTGTCTGGCGCTCAGTCCGCGCCCCGGCGGCTTCCAGCGCCCTCCCTCTGTCCCACCCGGGAAGGCCGCTCGGATTTCCCTCTGCGCCCCCCCAGCAGCCCCCGACCCGCACCCCGGTCTTCCCAGGTGACTGGAAAGTGCTGAGGCGCCGGGCGCGGAGTTGCTGAGTCGGCGCTTCCCCAGCCGGCCCGAGTCCTCCGCGTCCCCCGGAGCAGGTGGAGCCGGGACAGCGGAACCCGAGCCGCCCCCCCGCGCGCCGCACGCCTGCCCGCCCCGCGCCCCGCGCCCCGCGGTCACGAGCGCCGGCTCCTCGCGGGGGCCTCGCCCCGGCGCGCCCTGCAGCCGGCGAGCCCGGGGGCGGCGGGGCGCGGTCCCCGGGTGAAGCTTTTCCACCGCCCCAGGCACACGCACCTCACCGCTGCCCCACCCTGGCTCCCAGCGGTGGGTGGGGGCTCCCCTCCCCAGGGAGCCCTGTTTTCTCCGGCGGGCTGGGGTCCCTACCTTGCAGCAGGCGCCTGAGCCAGGGCAGCATCTTGTCTCGACGCTCGGGGGAGGGGGCGGCAGGGGCAGGGCGCTCCCCCTCACTCCCGGAGCCCGCCGGACGGACGCGGGGACTCCGCGGGGCTCCGGGAGGGCCCGGGAGTCCCCGGGCGGGGTGGCGGGGCCGCGGCGCTCTACCCTGCGGCCCCCCGGCTGCGGGCCTCCGGAGGAGCCATCGGCCCCGACGGGACGGGGCGGGGCGCGTCGGGGCGGGGAGGGCTGGAGCCGGCGCCCCCCGGCAGCGCAGGCAGCGCGCGAGTCCGTCTGTCCGTCGGTCCGTGCGCCCCGGCTGCGAGCCGAGGCAGAGTGGGGACGGCGAGGAAGCTCTTCCCAACCACCCCACCTCCTCCCCGCACTAGCTGGCTCCTCCCTCGCTTTCTAGCTCGACGACTTAACCCTTTCCAGGCCACGAGGAGGCGGGGACGGCTCCCTAACCCCCACCATTCCCGCCCCCTCCCCTCCTTGGGGCACCCGGAGGGCTGAATTCGATCGCCCTCGCGGCGCTGCGCTTCGAGAGAAATCCCTACTCGCGGGGCTGCGGCAGTGTAAGGGAACCTCGTGGCTTTGATCAGCCCCCCCGCCCCCCAACTTTCCCAGAGGAGGTGGGCTGACTCCAGGGTCAGCTGCCCCTCGTCGTGCCGCGCCCCTGGCAATTGCCCAAGCCTCCGACGTGTCTCTCCCCTTGGAGGACACCCAGATTCCACTTTCCCAGGCGCCCCCAGGCCCCGAGCCCGGAGCGCGTGCGACGATAATAGTCTATGCAAGAGTTTGTGTGTGCGAGAGCGAGCTTGGGCGCGTGCGCGCGCGCCCGGAGGCTGGTGCTCAGGGACCGAGCGCTGGCTCGCTGCCTTTTATATATGGGCCTAGGGGAGGGGGGGGCCCGCACGTGAGTGTGTGAACCGGTGAGCCGCGGAGTGTGCCCCGGCGTGCATGTCTGCGCGGGTGAGAAACCTGAGGCTGCGTGAGAATTTGGCGCCAGCGAGCTCGGCGTGGCGAGGTGCCTGCGCCCCGTGTGTGAATGCCCCTCGCTGCAGGCGCGCGCGGGTGCAAGTTTGGGTGCGCGTTCCGGCGTGGTTTAATACACATTTTACTGTGCATGTGTAATGCACGGAAAGGGGATCTCATCTGCGGGGAGGCAGGTGATGAAGAAGGAAACAGCTGACTCCAAGCGAGCTTCTTTCACCTCCTGTCAAAGAGGGGGGCATTCTGATTTCCTCAGGGTCCCCCGGCCGCTCGTGGCCGCGTTCCCGCTGATACCAGCCGACCCGTGACCTGCTCGTCTCCCTCCTTACGAAGGCCGCCGAGCAGATCGCCCTGGCCGGAGCCGGCCCTGGGTGCCCCGCGCGCGCCTCCCAAGCCGCTGGGACGCGCGAGCGGCGCGGGGCCGTCCGCGGAGCCACTTGGGAGCCCGAGGCCGAGGCGCGGCGGGGCTGGGGCGGCCACAGCGCGCGGCCGCGGGTTCAGGGCCACCTGCGCGCGGCCGGACTGACCTGCGGAAGCGCTGGAGCCCCGGGCGGCGGCTCCCCACCGCCCAGAAAAGGAACCGCGCCCACCCCCTCCCTGCTGGCCCCGCCTCTCCGCTCGGCCGGAGCCCCAGGCTGCGCCCCGCACACAGTGGGCGCTTTACGCGCGGTCTCGCTTTCCCATGCGTTCTCTGCTCCAGCCACAGGCTCGGTCTTCCCTCGTTCTGGCCCGATCTCTCCTATTCCCCCCCCCCCTGTTCATATTTCATGTCTGCTTCTTTGTTTTCTCCCTCTTTATTTCCCTCCTCTTCCTTCCTCGCTCGCTGCCATCTCCTCCTCCTGCATCTGTCTCTGTGTCATCTTTTCTCTCTCACTGTCTGTCCGCGTCTCTGTCTTTCGCGTCTGGCCTCGCGGCTCCATGCCTCTCTGTCTCTCTCGCTTGCCGCCCCATCGCGTTAGTCAGCTCCCGGCCTCTTGCACCCCGGCGCTGGGGCGCCCCCTGCTGGTTTCATCCTGGGCCCCCCCCCCTGGACGCAGGCTCCGAGCACCTCCATGCCCTCCACGACCCCTCGCGTTTTCTAGTGAGGGAGGAGCTGAAAGAGGCCTCTCTGGGCGCAGGCCAGGCCGAGTGCTCAGCACCCCGCCCCCCAGCAGGTGCAGCGTCTCTTGAAGGCCGAGCAGACCCCCGAGTTTCCCCGACCCACCCTGCTAAGGGCCCGCGCCCGGGAGGAGGCCTGGAGGGGGCGGCGGCGAGGGAGTGTTGGGGGTAGCAGGGTGGGATTTGGCGTCCTTCCCCGGAATGAGCCGCGGCACAATCTGTCGCTGGGTTTGTTTGCCGAGCTGCCTCCGGAGCGCAGTGGGGCTGGCTCCCGGGGAGCGAAATATCACAAGATGCAGAGACAGACGCTGAGGGGCGGGTGGGCGGCGGCTGACTCAGGTGTGCTGTCATCGGCTCCCTGGCCAGCGTTCTTTTGCGAGGGGTGGAGGGAGCCCCGGGTCCCCAGCAAGGTGGGCGCGCCCAGCTGCGAGGGGAGCCCCATCCTGGGGTGAGCTGCTGGGAAGGGGGTGCCCCTGCCAATAATCCTTGGCTTTAGTCCTTTCCTTCAGGTCCGGGAGCTCCAAGGCACACCCCTAACTTGGGTATGTTCCAAAGGGTCACAAACCTCTCTGCTCACACCCCATTTGGGGGAACCCACAGATGTGGGTTCCCCCAAATTATCTGCTGACTCATCACTTCCCCCTCTCCCCACGCTAGACTGTCAGCTTTCTGAGGGTAGGAAACTCTTCTCATTCTTTGAGAAGAAGCTCTGTGTCCCCAGCATGCACTCAACAGACACTTCTGCGGTGAATGGAAGGCAGGAGAGCGCTTGGCTGTTCTCATCACAGTGCATGTGACCTTCCCTGTGGATAGGGAAGGTCACATGCAATGTGACCTTAATGAATAATAATAATGAATAATAATGATGCAGCTAGTGTTTGTTGAGCACAGGGCTAGGCACTCTGTTAGGTTCTTTCATGCTTTATCTCATTGATGGATCTCACCCCCTAGTTCCTTCCCTTGCCTACAAGTGCATCCCCAGCTATTGTCTCCAGACAGGTTGCGAATTGGAAACAGCTCCTCCTGGAGTCTGAAGACCAGGGCGCCCCAGGGGACCCTAAATAAGTTACAGGTGCCCGGATTTCCTCACCTGTACACTGGAATATGCCACTCACTCATAAGGCTTCAGTAAACCCCCAACCCAGTTCAGGAAAACTGACCGGCCTCTGTGATGGTGACGGTAGCTGTCCTATTACTGTACTGATGGTGATTATGATCTTTATCCAGGAGCGCCAGACATCAGCTCTGTATGTGAGTTGAACTTCTGCACTTAGTCATTTTGAGATCTGAGGGAGTAAGCTGATGGCCAGGTGTCACCGAGGGCCAAGGGGCATCTAGATCCATTCAGTCTGGACACTTGGCCAGGCTCCGGGGGTCCTCAGGACTGGCCACAGAGCTGGCCTGCCCTCTGGTGGCTACAGGGGGATCTGCAGCCCCGCAGGAAGCCAAGGATCCTATGAAGGAGGGGAGTGTGGGGTGGGGTTTTTTTGAGAGGGGGAGGCTCTGTGTGTGAAGGGCTGTGGACTTTGGAAAGGAGCTCATGTGGGAGAAGGAGGGTATTGGCACAGAATAAATGAATGGCAACTTCCTCTACAAATTCCCACATATGAACAGCACCCCCCCTCTCAGTGAGACCCTGGGGACCCCTCTTCCCTGGGGGAGAACCCCATCTAGTGAGTCCGTTGAACTTCCCTACCTATTTGGCAACTGTGCTGTGTGGGACCTGGCTGTGAGGTAGGAGGTGGGTGGCTTAATGGGCAAAAGCACAGGCCTGGCTGGATTCATGCCCGGGCTCTGCTGCTCAGTAGCTAGAAGGCCCCGGGCAAGGGTGGGTAACGTTGGGAAGCCCTAGTTTCCTCATCCAGAAGATGGGGAGGGGGCAATTCTAGTTCCTGGCTCATAAGGAGGCTTGAGGATTAAATGAGAACATGAGAGACTCTAGCAGAGTATTTGAACCTGTGCTCAACAAACACTAGTTGTATTATTATTTGTTTTTTCTCTCTCTTTCTTTTAAATTTTTAAAATTTATTTATGCATATAAGAACTGGGGTGTAGACCAGAGGTGCAGGGGGTGAGAGGATTCACCAGAGACAGAGTGGGGAGCAGAACAGGTGGATCTACTGAAATACACTGCTGAGGGGAGCAGCAGGGAGACAGGAGGGGTCTGCTGCGCCTTGTGGGTCAGCTCCCTGCCTGGGGATTGAACTCAGGCTGTAGTGGTGATGGTGCTGAGACTTAACCCTAGGCTACCAGGGAGGCCTTCATTTTCTCTAACAACAACCTGCAGAAATAAATGTTCTCATTTAGTGGTCTGGTAACTGCTGAGTGTAAAGCTGGGTCTCGGCGTTGGTTCTTAGTCGTAACTTCCCCTGTGCATGCATGTGTGCGCTCACCCTCTTTGCTGGCCTTCACACCGCTGCCTCCCCCCACATGGGCCAGCACTTGCCAGTGATGCAGCAGCCTGGAATTACAAGCCTTGAGCTCTGTGCTCTCCTCCCTGGGCTTCAGTCTCCCAGTCATCGAAAGGAATGTCTTGAATCTGCTGCTCTTGAAAGTCCCACAGAGCAATGCCTCTGTGCCATCCTGGTTTCTGTGTGGTCTGGAGTGGGAAACAAAAGTGGAGCCTCTGAGCTGGATCCCGTGCTACCTCTACCTTCCCAGCCCTGGGGGGTGCAATGAGAGCCCCAGGGGGAGATAGGGTCTCCCCCAGACCCAGCTCTGGCTCCTCCACCCTCCCATTGGCCATCAGGCCTGCCCCCGGGGGGGAGGGGGAGGCACTTTCACCCAAGACACCCCCCTCAGTGAACCCCACGCCCTACTCTGCCTGGCCTGATGGGGACAGGGCTTCTTTCCAGGTCTTTCTAGAAAGGGAAGGAAACCTAATCTAGATTAGGTTCAAGAACAAGGGTATTGCTTCTTCCCAGCACAGTTTCTAGGGTCTATGTCTATTAATACGATTTATAATAACAGGCGTTTATTAGCCACTTGTTTCACGTCATGAACTTCTGTGCATTGGCTCATTTAACATTCAGAGCAGCTCTATAGGGGAGGGTCTATTAATAGCCCCTTCACAGATGGAGAGACAAACTCAGAGAGGTGCTGTGGCTCTCAGGTCTGGGCGAGCTGGGGCCTGCCCTGGGTCCCCTGCTTTAGAGGGCTTTGCTCTTATTCTCCTCCGGTCAGTGTGCCTCCATGGGGTGAAAAGTCCCCAGGTCAAGGGGACATGTCTTCTGAGATCCCGTGTTCC